GCCCCCCAGTGGCACAGCGGTACGTTTGCGGACTTACAACCCTAGAAACCGGATTTCGATGCCCGTAGTGGGCAGAGCACAGATAGCCCATTGTGTAGCTTTGTGCATAAGTACAAACAAACAATCACGTCATCTATTTCACGTTTAATACTTCTAATCGTGATTTAGGTTACGTCTAGGGTGAAAAGTGTATCTGACAAATAAATCCTCAGGTCAAAGTTGAAAAGAAAAAAATTGTGTTGCTACTTCAGAAGACCAGTAAAGTCCAACACAAAATAAAGTTGATCTAGTCATTCTTTCCGAAGTGAACTGTTCACAATTTTTAACATTAAAACAGCTTCTTCCAAAAATGACTCAATGTCTGTTGTCGTAGTATCTAGTGTACATCGTCAATAAATAATCTCCTCCTACAACTAGAAACCAATTTCAATGAACCCCATTTATTGTCTGTTTTTACATTGCAAATAACAGTAGTCCGCTTTCATGACTGTTTTATCCTACGTTGGCCAGAACAAGCTCTCTCTGAGTCATTATAAACTTCATCGTCAGGAAGTGATCTTAATGGGTCCTCAAATTGAGCACCATTTCCAGAAGTTTCTCTATTAGTCATTTCTGAGCTACAATTCAGTTTGTTAATGGAATTAACTGTCTGATGCTAAACGTTAATATTTCAGAAATTTCGTACAGAAACATTGAAAAGCCCTAACAGTGTTCGTCTTCACTTCAGAAGTAAAGTAATATCGAGGTTGAAAATTTTCAAAGAAACATCAACACTTAAATCTTGGGACTTTTTACGATATAATTGTCTTTTTGAAAAGCCCACATAGGACACCTTCTCTGTAGAAGAAAATGAAAAACTGTGAAACAAAAATTTCAAATTAGTTATTTCATGATAAAAGATAATTTTATTAAATATGGATGTAAAAGTGTATTATATTACTGAAACAATTAAACCTCAGGAGATTTGAAGAAAAAAATTTACTTCAGAAATGCCCACATCGAATACATTGCTAAAATTCCTATTTTTTATGCCTTTTATGAAAAGTTTCCCCATTTTCTATTTCGCTTTACTCTTGTAGACAAGATAAACACTGTTAGGAATTTCTAATATTTTTTTTGTTTTTTTGCAAAATTTCACAAATATTGAAGTTTTTTGTTTCTTTTTCAAACTACTCTCACCATTTCCTTCTACTATTTTTTGAGGAACGATGCACTCCACTTAGGGTTTAAATAGGATGTACTGTTTGGATTAAACTGTAAGTCTAAAAGTTTTCACGCCATATGAAATTAAACATTATTGGTGCATTCAAATAAAGACTTATCTCAACATTAAAAAAAAATCCATTTTTGTCTGTAAAAATACCTAAATACCCTTTGATTTTTTGAAAGAAAAAAAATGTAAAATATATTTTCATGTTCGTCTAAGGAAAACTGGTATTGGAAGTGAGCTTTTGAAAAAATACATTTTCTTCGAAAAGTCACTACGATTAATTGTTTATATATCGTAACACCCAGTAAAGTCTGCTAGGGAAATTAAATCTCTAACAGTGTTTAGAAAGGACTTTGTAGCTATTGTTTAACTGTTAAAAAATAATTCAATAATATGTAATTAAATGTAGTTAATTGAATGTACTGTACAAAAAATTTATAATTAACGTATAATTCAAAACCAAAGGTATATTTGGACAATCTGAAACTTGATCACTGGTAAAATGTGAACGTAACTGTAATAGGGCCCATAAATTATTTCGTAAAATGATTACTCTTCTCTAATGATCATTCTTACCCACGTTTTTAACTTGCACAACTTAGACGTGCCAATTTATGTCTTTTATTTTGGAAACAAAATGTTTGTATCATTCGTTTTCTTCAAAGGAAATTATGCATTGGATGTGGGCTGTTCAAAAATAGAATTTTATTGCTAAAATTATTAATTTTCATACCTTAAGGTTTTCGATTTCGCTTTACTTTTGCAGACAAGATAAACACTATAAGGAATTTTTTATATTTTTTTGCTGAATTTCACATATATTAACATTTTGTGTTTATTTCTCAAACTACTATAACCTTTTGCTTATTCTATTTTTTGAGGAAAGATGCACTCCCTTTAGGGTTTAGGAAAGGATATTTTGTTTTGATTAAACTGTAAATCTCTAAATTTTGTTGTTTTTTCAAGGATTTTAGGACATCTGAAATTAGACGTTATTGAAAAAAAAATTGTATCATAGGTTTTTACGTCCATCTTTGCAAAACTTGTATTCGAAGTGGTCTTTTCAAAAAAAAAGTTGTTGCTTTTTCTTTAAAAGTCGCTATGGTTAATTGTTCATGTATCGAAATGCCCTTTAAATTTGTTTTCTTGAAAATACCTAAAATCTTTGTACTTTGGAAACAAAATGTTTGTATCATTCGTTTTCTTCAAGTGGAAAATATGGATTCGATGTGTGCTTTTAAAAAAATATAATTTTATTGCTAAAATTCTTTTTTTTAAGCTAAGGTTTTTTATGCCAATTATCCTTATCTTCCATTTTGCTTTACTGTTTCAGACAAAATAATCACTGTAAAGAATTTTTTTTAATTTTTGCTAAATTTCACAAATATTAAAGTTACGTGTTTATTTCTCAAACTACTATTATCTTTTCCTTATAATATTTGTTGAGGAAAGATGCACTCCCTTTAGGGTTTAGGATAGGATGTATTGTTTTCATTAAACTGCAAGTCTTTAAATTTTGTTTTTAGGCCATTTCAAATTAGACATTATTGCTGTATTTAAATAAACACTTATCTCGACATTTGAAAAGAAATATTTCTTATTCCGTATTTTTTTTATCATTGATTTTGATATTCGTCTATGGAAAGCTTGCATTCGAAGTAGTCTTTTCAAAAATGTATTTATTTTCCTTTAAAAGTCGCTACGTTTAACTGTTTATGTATCAAAATATACACTAAACTCCAAATTTAAAAAACCTTTGCTTCAGTGAAAGTACCTAAGGCCTTTGTATTTTGGAAACAAAATGTTTGTATCATTCGTTTTCTTTAAGGGAAGTTATGCAGTCGATGTGGGCTTTTAAAAATTAGAATTTTATTGGTAAAATTCTTATTTTTAAAGCCTTACCGTTTTTATGAAAATTTTCCCATCTTCGATTTCACTTTACTCTTTCAGACAATATAAACACTGTAAGGAATGTTTAATATTTTTTGCGAAATTTGACAAAAATTAAAAGTTTTGTTTTTATTTCTCAAACTAGTATCTTTTCCTTAAGCAAAAGATACTCTTATAGTAAAAATAAAACACCCTTTTGACTTTTATATCTTATAATATTAAATAAAAGGGTGGAGGTTGAAAATTTTACATTTTTAGGGTGGGTTAATTTTATGTTACATCTAAACATTAAGGGTAACTAACTTCCCACAACTGACTGCAGAAAGCAGTGGGAGTTATGGGTTCAAACACTCAACTCCCAACCGATTCTCCTTAGTTGCTGGCAACTTTTACATCGACATACTTATCTGGTCTGATAGATGGAATATCCCCAACGCGTTTGGGGGCTATGACCACAGACATTATCCATTAGGACTTAAGGATGAAAGAATGGTAATAGAAGAATTATTTTTGTCTCATTATAATGTTGTTTTTTTATTGTATTAAATTTAATATTGTTTTATAATGCTGTTTTTTAATAGCCTATGGACAGTTAATTATTTCATAGTATTAGGTATATTTATATATAGAGCTCGATGACTATCAATTATGATTATTGCTAATAGGCGATTTAGATCAGCACTATTAAACAATAAAGAATTTCTAATAATTTAATGCATAAATTTCGTTTCCGGTCGGTTATCCATAGTCATAGACAGATAAAGTTTGTGGTAATAGCACCCAAAAAGCGTTGGGTATATTTCATCTATCAAACAAAATCCAAAACGCCGAAGTTAAACAAGTTGATCATCATGGAAAATCAAAACAAGGGTGAAGAGGCGAGTGCTTAAACCCACAACGTCTCACCTCCTACTGCCTTTCGCTGTCTGCAGCCAGATATGGGAAGGAAGTTAGTTACCCTTGAAGTCTACAAGTAGAAAAAAAACCTCCCAAAATTTCAACAATATATAACTCTCAACCACCACTTTCCACCCTTGTTTTGATTTCCCATGATGGTGAACTTGTTTAACTTCGGCGTTTTGGATTTTGCTTGATAGATGGAATATACCCAACGCTTTTTGGGTGCTCTGTATACACTTAATTTCATGTCTGATACTCTAATCTCAAGTTTCTTCAGATGTTTAAAATGATACACTATCTTGTACAGCAGTGTCTCATTTTACACTCAAAATAAATTATTCCATGTTACTGGGTGAAGTAACACACACACACACGATAAGTAACTCCATGTTAACTAGTAACACACACACACACACACACATGATAAGTGACTCCATGTTACCTAGTGAAGTAACACACACACACACGAATAAAAAACTCCATGTTACTGAGTGAAATAACACAACCAGTATAAGTAACTCAATGTTACCTGGTGAAGTAAAACAACCATGATAAATGATTGAAATCAAAATGCCTCTCCGATAATGTATTAAGTGACATATCTAAATGATTTATGTCACCCACACAATAGCTTAATCTACAATGGTTCAAAATCAATTTGCATGAAACGCAGTTCTTTAATTTGCTTAAAACACAAGAAACTGTGTACACTCTACAGAAATAATCATGTCTGAAGTGCAAGCATGCTTTTACTTTGTACTGCAACTAGTATTTTACTGTTTCTTTGTATTTTTTTTATTTCTGCAACTTCTATTTATGAGATTTATTCATGTGTGTGTGTACATACATATATATATATATATATTACTTACAAAACAAAAAGTTTCCAGTTATTTTTTTTGTCATTCAAAACAACAAAAATGTAAATCTGTGTGTTAAAATGGGAATCCTAGAAGGTTATTGTTAAGACAAAAAATGTTTAAAAGTTTGTATTATGTACAACACATTCTTCAGATACTTTATTACAATTTTAGTACAATAGTCCAGTCACATCAACACTCAAGTATATTACAGTTCTAGTTGCAGAAAACAACAGCAGCAAACCCTGGTTGCTTTCACTCACAAGAAATATAAGTGCAGCTTAAAAAAAGTTTTAAACCTGTATGAACTGCCATTAGCTTGTTTATATTTATCATGTTACAGTAAGACTTGCGTGATTTATAATAATTTCTGAAACTAAATAAAGCACTTAAAAAGGACATTAACAGAAATTATTCCTCATGTTCTTAAGTTAAAGAAAATATACCAATTTTTCTTCCCTTTCTTGCTAAAAAAAGAAAAGAAAAAAGTTTCTTATAAATGCCTGTACTAATCATGTGTACTAGTACTTTCCACGAGTTAAAACCACAAGATTCCAAGGTAAACAATACTTACATTATATTTTTGACATCCTAAAGCAAACACTTATTATTCTTTTATTATATTTTAATAAAAGTAAATATTTTCGAAATGTAAAATAATATAATATTGAAAGAGATCCACTAAACAAATAACACTGTCAAACTTTCTGCTACTTGCAAATAATGTGTTAAGTGAACACTACAAAGTATACCAGAAACCTACATTTACTTCTTATATATATATTTTTACATGTATTAATTTACAACAAATACTTCATAATTTACTGAATACATTTTAATCAAAAATAATATCCTAAATCTCCACTGGCATTCTATAATAAATTGAAATATACTGAATACAATATACTGAAATTTCTAAAATTTCCTACATTTACAAGCCATTCTGTTAACAAGAATCAGAACTCAGTTTTGGTTGTCATACAAAATGTTTTGTCGATGTTACCTTCAAATAGTTCACAAATATAACCAGTTCTACCAAACACAGTTCTATTAGTAATTGATGCATGTGAAGTTAAATGCCATCTGGCAGATTTAACTAAAGAAAATGATCAGAGGATATGAATGAAATAAAACAATGCATCATACTGAAAACATTCATGTAGCACAAACAAGTAAGCTAAGAATCCTAAAAAAAAAATAAAAAAAAAGTTCCCATTTCACACAAACTTGATAAAAAAAATTGTATTTATCTCAAGATTTTACAAAGTAAACCAGAAATTTTATTTGCAATACTTAAAGAAACAATTTACAGTTTGGGTTTCAAAAATAGCTTATGAAGTTCAGAAACATTCTACTTTTAACATAATGTACAGAAATAATTTTTAAGCTGTATGCTATTATACAAAGGTCATAAATAAATGATACACAGTTTTCAAGTATACAGTGAATTTCAATCTCAGGTAACTTCTAACGTAAAAAAAAAATCATTCCAAATTAGTGTAATTGATATCTTCGTATTTAACACATTCCTTGTTCCAAAAAGAAATTGTATGTCACAATTACTAAATGACTACTTATTATTGAACAAATTATGTGTTAAGTTCTGGTATTCAATTTGCTGGTTATTTATCCAAAAATTTCAAATGAACTACAGTCTAATGTTACAGAAAAGCAAGATTTTTAAAGAATTATTTATTGGTTATACCTTGACTCTGAGCCCTGGAAAATTAACATATACTCTCCTGGTTCTAATACAACTTACTCAAAAATAAAGAAGTTTAACTGACTACAATATCAACATATTCTGATACTTACTCTTCTGGTTCTAATCCATTGATCTCAAAATAAAATCTGATGAAACTGAAAAAATCATCATGTTCTGATACTTACCTTACTGGTTCTAATCCATTGATCTCAAAATAAAATCTGATGAAACTGAAAAAAATCAACATATTCTGATACTTACTCTTCTGGTTCTAATCCATTGATCTCAAAATAAAATCTGATGAAACTGAAAAAATCAACATGTTCTGATACTTACCTTACTGGTTCTAATCCAGTAAACTCAAATTACAGGATGTATCTAATATTACTTGAAAATTAATATATTCTAGTACTTACTTTTCGAGTTACATTCCAATGAAGTATGTATTCAGATCTAATTGAAGAATGAATATGGTCTGATTCTAACTATAAATGAAGTGTTTTCTGACACAACTGAAGAATTAACGAGTTCTGACATATTTTGCAATAGTCTTAAGTCAGAAGACTTGTGTAAAAACAGAAAAAATTAATGCTGGTGTTTATTCTCCTTGAAACTTACTAAATGCGACCAATGCTTAGATACATGGTTTTAACCAGTACACCAAGAAAAGATACGGATTTCCCATACATGGTTTTAACCAGTACACTGAGAAAAGATATGGATTTCCCATACATGGTTTTAACCAGTACACTGAGAAAAGATACGGATTTCCCATACATGGTTTTAACCAGTACACTAAGAAAAGATACAGATTTCCCATACATGGTTTTAACCAGTACACTGAGAAAAGATACAGATTTCCCATATTACTAGAAAAGTCACTAATTTTAACACATTTTCAAGTTTTATGACAGAATTTTTTAAACTGTCGCTGGTGTGAGATTTTACGAGTTGAGAGAGACAAGACAGTTACAAATGTGAACAACAGAAAATACTTTCAATCATACAACAGGAGCAATATAAATGTATAATGTTACCTTCAAGCATATATATATATATATATATATACTACAACTTAGTTTTTAAGACAAAAACTAAAGGCAGTAATATTTAACATTTACAAGTTCAAAACTAAAATAAACATACTTTTCTTAACATGAAAAGTTAACTGTGGTATTATGTACACAGAATCTAGCAAAATACAATGTGCCAATCATCATAAGGTCACTACACACAGCTGCATAGCTCATTTCTGCATAATTTAAAATTTCATGCACTTAAAAAGAAGCACATTACATGTACAATTAAGGACTGTATATTACATCTTTCATACGAGATGTTATAAATTTCAGGTCTCTACGATTATAAAATCATTCATTAGTATTTCCCAAAACAGCTATAATGTACACTTCATATTGTGGAGGTAGATAAAATTATTGAAAACCTGTTTTTTTTTTCCCTTTAGAATTAGAAAAAAAAAATAAAAACTGGTATCTGCTGTGATTCTAACAAAAAAAAAAACTGAATTGGCCAATTTTTAATTTGTTAATTAGAGGGCAAATCTGTGTTTGCTAAGACCCCCCCCCCCCCCCGACACTGATTCATAGATGTAAAAATATTTAGTCCTTGAAGTTCAAAGTAAAATACCATTAACATGCATATCACAAACTTTCATCAAATACTAGATAGTTAGATATTTCTTTTTAACACTATCACATCTGACTGCTAAATTTTCCAGTATATTTCCATTCCCTTGTAAAACAGTATTCATTTACTTATAAAAAAAAAACAGTTACAATGTTAATTATATTAATATCAACAACAGATACTTTCATACTTTCTTGAGTGAAATAACTTGAAAGTTCCACTAAAAAAAATATCTTCTTAAGACCATTAACTTTGCATTAAAATGAATATTCTTATAGTTCAAATAGTATTTGGATGTCTACTTTGACCAAGTAAAAACCTAACTACATAAATAGTTTATGCTATTAACCATGCTTATTATTTAACTCTCATTCTACTTTAATTCCCCAAGATCTATTTCAGATTTTAATTAACATTTATTTAGATCAGTACTTATTAAAACAAACTAAAATCATATCAAAACAACTACTACTCATATAAGGTATCGTAACCTTTCAGGAGGATATTAGCTAGTTTCTCAATATAACCTGAAAAAAACCACATTTAATCAGCTAATTCTGAAGTGAGATATCAAGAAGAATCAGATGGAAAGTACCATTACTTTGGTGTTACATTAAAGTAGACTGTAGTCACTGATTTATGGAAAAAAAGGTCAAATTCACTTGATACTTTATTCACTTAATAGTGAGAAAAATGGCTGGCACAGTCTGGACTGTACTGAACTTTTAACTTTCCATACTTAGTAGAAAAGTTTACTTATGAAGATACTTGAATGTCTAACATAATGACTAAAATATCTGCTACACTAAAACTGTGCATCTTTCTATGTGTTGTAACATGACAATTCATTAACTAAAGTATTCTATGGTGATGCACTTACTTGAATAAAAATATACACAAGTACATTTCCACACAAAAAATAAAAGTTCAGAGTGAATAATGCTGGATTAAAATTAACCATATTATTTTATGTATTAAAGTGTTTAACATGAAATTTCAGTTCACTGTATTCATGCTGTGAATTTCTATTATTTTATTTTACGATACAACAGTGCTTCATCATAAAACCTAACTCCTTTAATTGAGGAGCTGAAAAGTCAAAATTTCATGCAAAAGCAAATGAATTCACATAACACTGAGAAAAATAGGGAGTAGAGAAATTTTACATAACTCTTGGTCATTGATATTAGCTACACTGTTGAAATAGTGACCACAGCCACATGAACATACAACATATTCAATGTGCCTAAAATTCTTGTCAATATTTCCTGCATAGACAGGGGAGAAAAAAAAAACATTTGCCACAAAACAGTAATTAGTAGCTTTCTAAATTGTGAACACTGCTATACAAAATATTTCAAAACAGTGAACATGGATAATCTACAACAAATATTTGAGGTTTTTAATATGACTGTTGAAAAGTAAATAAACAAGACTTTCTGTGAGATGAAATGCTACGCCGCATATTTTATTAAATTAAAACATGCAAAACAGCACACTATTCAAACAAAGAATTATGCTATGACTTTCAAAAACAACTTCACACATTAATGTCATTTCATGCAATTACAAAAACAAACACAAAACGTAGAAAATTATTTTTCAACCATGAAGCATTTTTGACATATACTGTAAATGGCTAATAGGGTTTTTTCATACTAACACACAATCTCAAGCACTTATCAACAACAAAAGCTTAGTTTTTGCTTCATACATAACCATTTACAAATACCTACTCCCAAATATAGGGAATTGTTTATCTAATCAAAAGAACTTGCTAGTGGAAATAGTTTCTTACAAGCTTTTTCGTTTAGGGAATTGCATAATAGATGCTTTCTAATGTTGAAGCCAATAAAAATATACAGTTAATATACAACAAATATACACGTAAAACTAGTCCCAATCTGACTTAATGGGGTTCATGTAGACTGTACTCTCATCCATCCATCCCATATCCTGTTGAAGGTGCAGGCTCTACAGGTTTGAATCCACTACATGGGGAGCCACTGCTGCTAGACATGGAGTCTGTGATGTCATGTGGAACTGTCTGATCTGGACTGTTCACTGGATCCAGACTACTAGATGACAAACTGTAATGAATCATGAGTAAACTAATTAAAGTATGTCAAACAACTGTGTCAAATAGACAGCTTTTATTAATACCCCCCTCTAAGTTCTCTGTTTTAAAAATACCAAATTTGACTTCAAGTCTGAGTTAAAATATTACACATAAGCCTTTTGTGTTAAAAGTTTGTTATAAATACATGAATAAGTAAACAAAGAAAGGAAAAGAACTCTGATTGTATCAAGCTTTCAAGCTTAGAAAAATCACGTATATAGTGAATTTGGAGGGTGTGGAACAATCACTCAAACAAATTATGGTATCAAGCTATCAAAAAAAATAATTGTTTTTTACATACCACTTAGTCATAAAACCTATAGACCATAATTCTATATCAAAAATACGTGATAGAAATCCAAAGACATGATATCTTTTCATTAGTTATTAAACAGCACTTTGAAAATAAGTACTAGGCTTAAAAAGAATAAAAAAAATCTATTATTACTACACACAGTTACTTATACTTTGCAGATGATTCCTAAATATTTCAAGTCAACAGTTCTTAGTTGTTGACTTTTTTGAGCTGAACATTTCTCAGTATGAGCAGTTGAGATAGTTGTTCATTAAGACAAGAAACATTTTTTTCCACAACCACAATTTAATTTTGATTACAACCTTTCTACTTTAAAGCTAAATGTCCAAGAAAAGATAAGTTTAGAAATGTCCTAAAAGAATCTACTAACTCTCTCCAGACTGGTGGGGTGTCAAATATATAACTTGGTTTGTTCCTTCTTACAGCAGAAATACTTAAAAAAATGGCAGTAAATTTAGTACAAACTTTCAAAACAGTATCTAGTTTCTGCTTAAATAAAATTAATGTTATTTGATTTAGTATTTCTATCATTTTTTAGGTTATGAAATTTTCAGAACTTTGTTATTAGACAGTTTGGAAAATTATTAAAACTACTTCTTTTCCTCATAGATTTCAATTGTTTTTTATTATTGATCAGAAGTTTTATTTTATATACCCAGTCAATAGCAACTCATCTGATATTTATTAACATATTTATTGTGATATTTTTCTGATTAAAGCAGTTTCCCAACCTGGGCAGTACAGCCCCCTGGTGTGCATTTTTTAAATTCGGGGGAGGGGCAGTAAACTTAGAGGGGGCAGACAGAAAAGTTTTGGCATTTTCAAAGTTATATTTGTTAAAATTAAACCATAAGAATTTACTACTATTGCCTTACAATTGTCATTTTAGTAAAATATTTTAATGGCCTAAAATTTTGTTTTAGAAGGGGGCATGAGAGATCATTGTTTACTCTGCCATAAAAAAAGTTGGGAAATACTGGATTAAAGCATTCATCATTATCGGCTATAAATCATATAAACAATTTACAGAGATTTATCATTGACCTAACCTTTCAACCTAACCTGGTTTGTTTTCACTATATAATAGATATTTGTGTGTCTTGTTTCAATGTGATAAAAATTTATATTCAATAAAAAAGATTTGTGCCTTTCAAATAGCTTGTCTTCACTTATCATAATTGCTAAACCTAATTAAACTTACCTTAGTAGAATAAATATTCCTGTAGCTTTCAAACACAAGTAATTTTAAACAAAACTTTTATCAGGAACATATGAACATCACAAGGAACTACAAAAAATGTCCTAAATGTTGTAAATTTTGCATTAGTATCCTTTGTTCACTCTCACTGAAGCTGTAAGTAGCTAAAATGTCTAAAAACCATAAATATCTGATAAAGCCACTTTATTTACTCTAAAATAAAATTGCCATAGACCAATTTGGAGCTCTTCTATCTAACAGTTTTTAGCTGTTGGCTCTAGCTATTTTTAAACCACATGCTGTAACATCATAAAAGGATAGCATTGAAGCATTACAGCAATAAAACCACAGACACAGAATGAAATTAAGTTGAGAAACAAAACACAAATTATCATATTTCCATAAGATGATAGTTTCTTAGCAAATACAAATTGATACCTTGAGCCGAGTAGAAAAAATTCTAAAAATCAATACATGTGCTGTTTACAGATAAGATTCCTCAGAGCTGCTCAAAATGAAAGTTTGACCATTTTTTAATTTTTCTTTGGTGAAATAAACCAAATGTGATATATAATGCTAAAATATTATATATATAAAATAAAAATGTTTGAATAAAATATTTATCATATAACTAGAATTAAATTTCTTTACTTCAATTTTTGAAATTTGATACGCATGTGTGCACTCAACACCTGAAAGCTGTACACTGGTTTTGATAAAGCTAACTGTAACAATAACAGCTGATGAGTTATGTGTATACAGTTTTCCAAATCTTTCAGGAGAATAGCATTGTCAATTTTAAATAATGATTAAAACGTGAAGGAGTAACTACTACACTATTTTCAATAGTTAAAATAATTTTTAAAAATTTAAATTGAGATGAGATTTTTGTGAACAAATATCATTATGATGGCTTCCCAACAGATAAATCGTTATATCGACTGACTGAAAAAATAACTTATAAATGGAATTGATAGTGTTTTTCAATATTATAACCAAATATTTTATTTTAGATTCAAAATAATTGTACAAGATTTATCCTTATTTTACAAGTTAAATACTTACCTGTTTACCAATGTGTGGATGATAGTTTGAAAACTAGGTGCTTACCTGTGGGCTAATAAATGTGTGATGATTATTATTTGATGATAGTTTGAAAACTAGATGCTTACCTGTGGGCTAATGGATGTGTGATGATTATTCTTTCTGGAGTGCCTGCTCCTGTGTTCATCCTTTTTGCTGGACTTCCAATACTATCTTGTTCCATGTCTACGTCACCTGTAAAAGCATGGATTATTTAGTCATCAAAAGAAATATTAGCATGTTTTGAAAATTCTATTCATAGAGAAATAAAACTAGCCAATATATCACTAATGCACAAACAATATGCTCGTACAGCTAATCATTTATATATTTTCATTTGTAACCTTTTTGTACATAAAATACTCTGAATTAATTAAAACTTAGTGTGTGTGTGTGTAGTAATGAATAAATTCCAAACACAGAGTAAAAACTGCATTAAAGATGGCGAAAGATGAATAAAAACGAGGTTTAGAGGTCAAGCTTAACTTAACTTCTAACCCTCATTCTTATACCCCTCTATAGGCAATTATGTTTTTAACATTTATGTTAAAAATCTAACTTTCTTTTCTAAAATATAAAATAAAAATTGTTGCCTTACCTTGATTTTTCTTTTATGAAAACCTTATCCATAAATGACACATAAAGCTTAACTTGGTACAGAGCAAATCTCTGAGGCAAGTGGCTCAATCTCCTATGCTCTTCATAAACCCAAATATACCTGAAGAATTTTAAATTTACAAAACACAAACATAATAATACATCAGTCATTAAATTCTCAGAAGCATTTAAGACCGTTTTGCTCAGGCCACTTACATTTCCTTTTGATCAAGAACTGACTGGGTCGCAGGGCAATGGGACTCTGGCTGCGTCTGAAAAAGATGAAGGTTAAAAGACATTGCTGTTGAAGAACTCCTCTACCCCTTAGAGATTTTAGTTTTTCTTACACCTGCTGGAAAAATTTAGAAAAGTGGAAAAAAAGCTTACCGAGTCGTAAAACTTTTGCGAGTGGGGCTAGGATTAGGACTGAGAGAAAAGGAAGAAGTCCTCACAAGGTTTGCAGAAGGAGAAAAACATTGCTGAAAAAAAATGCAATTTTTAGTTTGTACATTGCTTTGAAAAACTTGAAACAGTATAAAAATCTATATATCTTTAGGATAGTATTTAGTATATTTTAAAAATACCACGACACTTCAAGTCAAGTTTAACAAGAAAAACAGTGCCTTATAGTCAATTCAATCACACACAGTATTTTACTCCCAAGAAAAAAGAAAAGAAATATTTATTCTTAAATTTTTAATGCTAATTTTTACACATACTTTCTAAGATAAATATAACACAACCTACTGAAATGTTTATTAACTTATAACTAATAACAACCTTCAGCTATGGTTTTACGTTTATTTTAGTAATTATAGATTTAACCCTCTCACTACAGGCATCCTTTCCTGAACACGCAACTGGGATTTTACTGAGTTACATTAAAAATTTAATTAATTAAACTACTATCTTATCATGGTATACGCATAAACTTGGCATCAAAACTTAGCTAATAATCCAAATTTTAATAGAAGTTTTAAGTTCTTAATTTTAAAAGGCAATATTTAAAAAAAAATCCTGAATTTTCCCTAGTAAGAGAATTGTAACATTTGCTCTCTACGTATCCTCTCTTCCATAATTTATGGGAAACACATGAACAAGTAAAGCCAAAAACATTTTGATAATTATAGGACATTATCTGCTTTTTTTGCATGTTATTATTCTATGTTCTTTGGTGCAGTAGTACCATTAGCATAAAAACGTAGGGATAAGTTTCACCAACTGTCAACAGCAAAAAAAAAAAGGAAGACCAAGGTAAGTACTATATATTTCTTATTTTTCATGGGTATTCTTTATTTACTACTATAAAAGTAACTGAGATGTAAAAATAAGAAACTCTTTAGGTTAGATAAGATTAGACTATGATAGGTAAAATAAAGAAGAAGAATTCTTCACAAGGTATTCTTATGAGCAACTCACAACTAACTCAAACATTATGTAGTTTGATAATGTGACAAAGCTACATGTTTGCCAAGTTGTGTACAACTTTTATGGCAGGAATATTAGTTAGCCATGGTTCAAAGAGCAATAAAACAATAAATTTTAAGTAGATACAGATGTATACTGTTACGCGTTTAAAGCTATTTAGGATAAGCAAAATAATTTCATGTTACAACTTGAAGTCATTCAAGATAAAAAAAAAGGTAATTTAGATTTGTTTCAGTTTGTTGGTTATGAGGTCGATCAAATTAACTAACCTAGTATAGAGTTAGGGTATAGAAAATAAAACAAAATATAATAAACAGATGTATACTGTTATGAGTTTAAAGCTATTTAGGATAAACAAATTAATTTCATGTTACAGCCTGAAGTCATTCTAGAAGAAGAAAAAAAGGTAATTTAGATTTGTTTCCTTTTCCTCTTTGGTGATTATGAGGTCGTTAAAATTAACTAACCTAGTATAGTTACAGTAGAGAAAATAAAATATAAAGTTTGACTGAAAAAAATGTCTGAAATATATTTAGAAGGTTTTAGAGATCAAGAAAATGAAATATGAAATTTCTAAGATGAAAACACTATTTTTAATCATAACATGAAAGTTATAATTTTTCCTACACTGAAAATATACTAATATAGTACATTACCCCACTCACATAAATAGCTATTCTCATTTGGTGTTGAATTTTTACATGCCACAAGCCTTCTATATCCCCTACATTGGAATTGACTGATTCCAATGTGTTTTTTATGCAAATCATCATATGTTAACCCTCCACCAATAAGAGTGTGACATACTCTCATGATGCATATTCAATTCTACCAGATTATAACTTCGAGTTTTGGCAGAAGATGGAAGCACCAGTTTTCAGTGGGGAGGAAGGGTGGGAAGTGTGAGCGAAAGTAAGTACCTATCAGAAATACATTTTCAGTGTAGGATAATTATAACTTCTGATACGGCATATTACCTCCACTCACCTAAGCAGCTAGAATCCCACATTGAATAGGTGGAGAGACCTGTGCAAGGGAAAGAAAGAAGCATCCTTCAAAACCATCTGAAGAACACTCCCTAAGATGAGACAGTCAGATTCTAAGATCTGATGTGGGGAATCACACCACTTCTGAACCAGATATACTCTTTGCCCATCGTAGAAAAATGTCGCATATATGGGTGGAAAACAGAGGAGCACATCCAAATGGGAGAAAGCTATGGCTGGAAAGTGATCCAAACCATACAATATTTATGAAACTCAATCCCAGAAATTATAAAAGTAGATAAAATTAAAAGGATGTGACCCTAGGTGTAGAGTGGCTAGGGCTCGATGGACAGTACACCGTTGCCCATAACACTGATGGAGTATAAATGACGGAGGAATATAAACATTTGTACTACATGAGGACTTTAGTTGATTGGTTCTACTCTAAATCAAAACCCTTGCCACTGTGAACCAACATCCATGTGGGAATAGGATGAAAGATCCCATTTGAAGGGGTGAACTGCAATTTTGATGTCTCACTCCCACTTGTTTTTATGTTTCATATTGGAGGATACACCAGTAGAACACCACCGTTTGCAGTTCATTAACCTATTCAAGAGGATGCCTGCATGGTTGACCACCCCAGCAGCTTGGAACTGGAAAGTGGTAAGATATTCTAAATTCCACTAGAAGAAAAGGGAGGTAAAATGCAGTGGAAAATCAGGAGGAATGAAAAACACCTGAGACAGTGCAATGGGTGATCACAAAACCCTAT